GCTTTGAGTTCAAGAACAAAACCGTGCGGGTTAGACCCAAAGCAGATAATATCTTGTTAAACTTAGAATATTATAGATTTGGTATCAACCAAACCTTGTCCCTATTACTATTAGTGGGACAAATCTCCACAAGGACCCTGAGTCCTTAAGGGAGTGCATGTGACACCTTAGGTGAATCTCACATCAGTTAAACATAAGATGAAAGTAATGTATATAAAAATGGGTAAGCCTTAAACTAACAAAACACAATTTTGGTTTAGGCTCTAGCCTAAGAATAAAAACCATGGAAACTGGACCTAAAGTAGACAACATATTGCTAAGTTTGAAATGTTACACAGAGGGATGTGATTGTGTAACGAAATAAAAATTTAGGGAGATTTGATTTAGTTTCTAAATATAGGAGGAATGTAATAATTTTACAATAATTTAAGAGATGGTTATTTTTCCCATATACTTTTAACGAGCTAAGTTTGAGCTCAACAGGTCTCGGTTCAGTTTAACTAACTTTACATCTAATGAATGCTAATGGGATGTTTGATTTTTGATATTAATATTAGGAAGAAAAATATAAATTTGTAACTATTTTTTGAATAACATTCAATTGAAAGGAGAATTTTTTTTTTTTTTTTTTTTTGAATAACATTCAATTGAAAGGAAAGAATTTTTTTTTTTTTTTTTTTTTTGGAATTTCAATCTCAAATGATGCAAAGACTGGGTAAACTATGTAATAGCTAGAGAAAGGAGAAGCAATTTTAAAGTTGGAGTGACATAGCTAAATGTTCAAAATTGGGGCCACCAGTAATAACAACAAATATATGTTAAATTTTGGTAAAGTTTGAGAGAAAAGCATTTTCATATATATATATATATAATAGTAAATATGTAATATGCCAAAAACCTCGGATGGGACTGAAAGCGGCTGCCGGCGCCCTGTAGTTTGGGATGGTTTTTTATTTTTTTTTTTTTTCATGCCCTTTATGGAATGACCTCAAAAAAAAAAAAAAAAAAAAAAAAAAAAAAAAAACCTAATCCCCTAAAAAAAAAAAAAAAAAAAAAAACCTAATCCTTTTTTTAAGAGGCCTTTATTATAATATATGATATATTTATTAATTAAGAATTTTCATTTATTTATGGAAATTGTTAAGAGTCTTGAATTAGTCAAACAGAAGCCTCCTCCTTTCCTACAATAAGGACTTTAATGTTCAAATTGGGTCCATTACCTTTCTTTGGCCTAAATATTGGTGGGAAAGTTTGGTTACCAGCTCCCTTTTCTGACCAATCGAACTGTATCACATTGACTCTAATATCTATATATATAAATAATTTATTTTTATTATTATTATTACTATTGTTATGAAAATGGAAGAGAAGGAGAGAGAGATTGATTGAGATTCTTAGAATTTAAAATGGTTATTTGATTTAAGAATATCAAAAGAATTGAATTTAATTTTATGTTGAGTATGAAAGGCACATGCAAGATAGTCCTCAAGTCAAAAAAAATGAGATAGGGATTTTTATTTTTATTTTTATTTTTGAAAATTGATATGTGAATGTGTTTTGTCAAAAAAGACATGCCACTAAATTGTTTCCAAAATATTACCAATATATAGAATTGCTTGAACTGACTTCTATCTACAATTGAGATTAGAATAATTTTCTTCATCCAATTTATAAAAATGCAAGTGTTTTCCTCCTTTTTCACAAGAAAATTTATGTACAGAGTTATATTAAATCAGAAGATAAAAAGCTTATAATGAAAATTATTAGTTGTATATATTTTATTTTTTCAAAAACAAGAAATTTATTTATTTATTTAATGGAATGAGAGAATATTATTGTTTAGTAATGTATACATGGAGATAAGCCAAGGAATTATTCCATGGACAATAGGAAGATATGTACATGAAACAAAGAGAAGACTAAGATAAGTATTCTATAACTATTAAATAAAACAAAGACCATATATATATTTTTTAAAACCCATAAAACAAAAATTCTCTCGAATTTCCATGTAAAAGTTAAAGAATCTCACCTAATTTTATCTTTTAAAATAATTATATTTAAATAATACTTGTAAGAATTATTTAACATTTAGAAGGTAGTCAACTTTTAGATTCTTAGCCAGACACTATTCTGACATAAATTACCTTCAATATCTAAAAAAAAAAAAAAAAATTATTTTACAATAAAATTGACAAAGAAAAATTAATATTTCAGATTTTCTTATTAACTAATATGTATGATAAATTTAAAGTGTGTTTGCAGCTGCTTATATTCCCTTTATACCTCCTTTAAACAAAATATGTATTAATGATACAAAAAAAAAAAAATTATTCATGAAATATATAGTAAAGGTGATTTGAATTTATGGAATTTGTTTGATAAAATTTAAAATATTTAATGAATTTATACAATTCTTTTATTCAGTTGAGAAAAAAAATAAACCGTGACCGATGGATCTAATAAAGTCTATTATAACCTTAATTTTAGTATTTTGAGTGGAATTTATCAATAATGGAATTTAAATAACTTAATTTTATGAATTTTGTGAAATAATAACTTTTCTATCTCATCAGTCAAAGCCATCATGTTTCTATTGGTTGATTCTAATGGGCGAAATCTTGGTTCGATTCAAATTGAATGAACCACAGCAAACCAAACAAATTAAAATTTTTGAAATGTAAAATGTTCAGTTTGATTTAATTTAATTTAGCTATTATTTTATATTTTATTTTTATTTTTCAATTTTATGAAAATCAACATGGATTGAAATGAAATTATATGTCTTAAAAATTAAATTGAATTATGCTCAGCATCAGATGATTTTCTATTTACTCAGGCGCTTAGTTAAAGGAGTCTATAAAATAAAAAAAAAAAAAAAAAACTCAATTTTCTCTGAAAAAATTCAACGAGGAAGAGAAAAAGGAGCTCATGGTAGGCAAGGAGAAAAATCAAACAATCATTTTATTACTAAAAAATAAAATAAAGTAAAAAATTGAATATTGTTTCGGTTTATGTTCCAACAGTTGAGGCAGTCCAAGTTGGAGAAATTTATTATTATTATTATTATTATTATTATTTAAAGAATATAACCTTGCTAATTTGTAAGAGAATGCGCATCAAAGTCTTCTTGTTTTCCTATTTTTAGAAATTTAGTGTTTGACTCCTACTAGCACATGTGAAAATTTTATGAATTTAAAATATGAAAATATGATTTATAATCACTTTTAGAGTGCAAGTTTATTATAAAAAGAATTATTTTATTGCAAAAGAAAAAATCATAAAAAGAAAAAACATAAACTATTGAATTAAACGAATTATTTTATTGCAAAAGAAAAGGAGAAAAATATAGAATTTATTGATGTAAGTGTATATTAATGAAAATAGATTAAATTTGTGTTTTAAGTAAAAAAAGACTGTAAAAATTTAATGTGATACACATTTAATGATTTAAATATGTATTCTTTTTAAATAATTATCAATTCAAATAAAATTTTAATTAATATAGATTTAAGTTTTCAAAAAATAGCTTAAACTTTTATATTAAATATCATTTAAAATTAACCAACAGATAATTGGATAAGCAGAAGCGAAATTTGAAAAATTTTCTCTATGAAGTGAGAACTTTACTTGAATATCATTTCGGTCCAAGTATATATACCCCGCAAGAATTATATATATATATTATATATAGAATTTTTACAAAAAAAAAAGGACTACAAGAGAAAGGAAATATGTTACAATGATAAAAAAGAAAAAAAGAATACATAGATATATTTAAAAGGAATTTCCCCCCTTTTCAAAAAAAATTTTTTATTTTTTTTTTTACATTTTGCGGAATTTACAAAAAAAAAAAAAGGACTCAAGAGAAAGAGAAATATGTTACAATGATAAAAAAAGAAAAAAAGAATACATAGATATATTTAAAAGGAATTTCTCATTTTATTTTACCATTTTGAAATCAATTTTCGTAACAAAGATGAATTTGAATTCACCCCCAAAGTTAGGTTGATCCTCCAGCACCTTTTGATTTTCAGGTTTAAATCCTAATTCTCTTAGTATATAATTCGTATTTTTTATGTGTTGTGTTGCTCTTAATGAGTTCTCAAGTATTTGAAATTGTATAATTACTTACTCTGCATTTGATATAAAACGTGGAATCCATTTATAAATAAATTTTTTATGTTTGGAATGAATTCAAAATTGAAAATTCATTTAGTTCTATTTCTAAAATATCATTGATATAATAATTTTAAAAGGCTAGGAAAATGGAAAGTATTGTCATAAAACTATAAGTGACTATTCAAGTTTGTGAAATTTTTTTTAAAATTCAAAATTTTTTGATAGAATTTAATTTAGCTATACTCGAATCCATAAAGTTAGATTCTTCATTTTTTTTGAACCAAACAGAATTATAAATGAATTTTGTATAATTCGCTTATTCTAAATAAGGGGTTAAACGGTAGCATCAGCTGAGTGCACAGGTTGTAACATTCCCTTTCTATAAAATATGCAACGGAAAAAAAAAAAAAAAAAAAGGAAAGGGAAAAACGCGTCCTGAAGCTGTCTCTTATTCAGTTAATAATATTGAGAGTATGGAAAAGAAAAAAAACACAATAATTCATGCAAGTTGAAAAAATTATGAAAAACGCCACACAGACACAGTTTCTTCACATGCAACGGAAAAGTAGCTGTTCGAGAATTTCTAATAAGCAATCAAACAAACCCATCACCGTCTTCAAGTTTTTGTCTTTGAAGTTGATTGTCACAAAATTGACTCCAGAATTATACAGAAAAAAAGTAAGGAGAAAAAAAAAATAAACTTTTGCATAGTTTAAGGTAAAGATAAGCAAAATTTTTACAGTCCTTTCTTCCTATACACAAATGCACAAGCGTCCTTAAACGTACAAGTCATGCCCTAAAGAAAACACAAGACTCAAATAACCCATATACAGAGAGGCGAGAGAGGACTAGTCTCTGCCCCCGCTTTCACCGCTCATCTATGATTCTTGGATAGGTCGTAGGTCTGGTTTGTGGATAGAGCTTTAGATTCGGTACAAAATACTGACTCTAATACACATAAATAGAGAGAGAGAGAGAGAGAGATAGAGAGAGAGGGAGTAGGATTATGTAGAAAATTGGCACTGGTAGGCTTTTGGCTTTTTGTGCTTTTGTCCAACGCCTAGTGAGAAAAAGCAAATAGAAAACAGTAGAAGCAAGGAATTCTTATAAGAGCTACCTAAACCGCTCAAAAACCCCCCACCTCTGTCTTTCTGTCTCTCTCATTTCTATTTCTTTTTCTTACTTGAAAAGATCTTTGGTTAAGTCTCTTTGGTCAAGTACAGTGTGGTTGGTTAAGTATGGACAACCAAAGAAGTTCTCTTCTTGGCTGGGCTTATTATTGCCAAGGAAAGGTAACACATTTCTTCAATTTCATCTCTGTTATTGTCTCTTACAATTGGAAAGATAGTGAAGTCTAGTCCTTTTATTTGTTTTGGCATTTTTTAGTAGAAAGATTGATGGGTTCCTGTTCTTTTTCTTGTTTAGTTCTTTTTTTGGCATTTATAATTGAAATGGTTTAATGGGTTCTTGTTCTTTTTCTTGTTTGGTTCTTGATATTGGGATTTAAGGTCAAATTGTTTATGGGAATACTCTGATTTGACAAAAATGCAGAACATGGAAGAATTAAGGCATTCACTTTTGTACACTAGTTTGGAGCTTGAGCAAACAAGGGTAACAGCACAAGAAGAGCTAAGAAAGAGAGATGATCAGTTGATGCATCTAAAAGATCTGCTTAACAAAGCCATAAGAGAAAGAGACGATGCAGTGGAAAAATGCCAAAGACTTTTGTTTGAGAAGCTTTTGTTTCAACAGCAGCAGCAGCAGCAGCAGCAACAACAACAACAACAAAATGCTCCTCTTTCTGGAATTTCAAGCATTGAAGATGATCCCAGAAGAGCAATTGACTCTAACAATGGGTTTTCTTCATCAGATTGTGAAGAAAGCATTGTTTCGTCTCCTGTTATTGATCCAATTCCACAACCACCACAATTGATACCAAACACTGCTTCACCACCACCGTCATCTATAGAAATGATGCCTCAAAAGCCTTTACCTGAAAAGGGAAAGCTTTTACAGGCAGTAATGAAAGCTGGGCCTCTTTTACAAACTCTTCTTCTAGCTGGACCACTTCCTCAATGGAGACACCCACCACCGCCACTCGAGTCTTTTGAGATCCCACCAGTTACGATCCCTTCACCACCGCCACCGCAACCGCCACAGCTCCTCCGTCAAGACTCTTTACTAAACATTAATGGTTGCAATAAGAAAAGATTACTCTCTAATGGCTCTGACTCTCCTACGGAGACCAAGCATCAAAGAATACTTCTTCATTGACAACTAAAACAACATAATTTTATAAATATTATATATCAAAATTTTTAAATACCACTAAAAAGCTAGTGAGGAAATTGAATTTGGAGTGATGGGTATGTTGATGACTGATCTTGATCTAGCATTTTTGTACAGAAGGTTTGTTTTAGAGAAAGAGAAGCTTCAAGTGAGCTTTAGCTCACTGGTCTTCAAAATTGTGAAGTCCCAAGTCTAATTTACCAAAAAGAAAATTAAAGACAAGGGAAGCTATTCCAAGTTGACTGAAGTGGAGAGAAAGAAAGTTAGATGATGGGGTTGTTCTTGGCTTTTTTTGTGCCAGTTTCTTGGGTGAAGATTTTCGTCTTTTACATTTTGTTAGTTTTTGCTAAAATGATATGTGAAATGGAGAATGGTTTCTCCAAAATTGCTGTGGCATGTAAAATTGTAACTTTAGGAGGGGTTTAGTTTACTAATAGTTAGTGAGTAAGCTTGAGAATGGCAAGAAAAGACTAGAAAAATTTCAGATGATTTGGAATTGGGTGTGAAGTTGTTGGGACTGGAAGATGGGTAAGGCCAACAACCATAAGGTCTCATAGACCTGCTTGTCGGGTTTAGTGGATCCCACAAATCAGAATCAGGATCTACTACCGTTGTGATGTATGATTATATTACTCCTTTTTTTGAGGGCAACTATATGATTATATAAGTGCTAATCTTTTGTTTTCTTTTAATTTATTTTTATTTTATTTTTACCAAGTCATTTTCCCTCTTCATCAAAGCTTCTTTTTGATATGCCTATGCCCCACTGTTTATTTTTAGACTAAACTTTCATTTCCTTAAAGTAAACAAAATAATGTGAAGGAAGGATGTTCAAGTTGCTCTTCACATGCAATTTATCTATTATTATTAGTATTACATAACTAAGGGGAAGCAATGGTTTTCTGAAGAATAATGATTAGCAGAAAAAATTTATTAGTCTAAACAATGAATATTTACCGCCAACCATATGGGGCAAAACAAATAGCTTTGACAATTCAATTTACTCATCGGTCATCATCACTTCTTTTAATAACCTCTTCTTCCTACCCTTAGACCAGCAAGCTGGTAAAAGGGTAAAAGGATTGGTTGGATGTGAGTAATTATGTCTTTGTTGAGTGGCTGACTCTGTATGTAACGACCCAAAATCTAAACCTATTAAAAATTTAATCGGGACATGCTTAGTCTATTCAGCATAAATTTATCTTAAAAACAAAATTTAATAACCTCATTGAACGTATTATCTTAAAAAAAAAAACCCTAATCCCCTTTTTTGCTTGATTTATATAAGTAAAAGAAATAACTAGGAATCACTTCAGGTTGCTATCTTCAGAATTCACACTTAAAAGGCAAAATAAATAAATAAAATAGAAAGAAAGAAAGAGAGAAACTTGGACAAGATATCATCAAATTTTGAGCCTAGGAGAAGTTTTGGAATGTTGGGCTGCAAAAACAGAAAGCAAATCCCTGACTGGAATTGTTTGGTCTACACGGCAGAAGCTAAGAAACAAGAAACTTGACCAAGGAAGATTAATTAATTACTCAAAAAAGTCGACTAGGTCTCCTATATCCATCTATCGTCTCTCCGTCAGAGCATGGTCACTCACAATAACTTAATTGGATTAGATTAAGAATCCAGTATGCAGTCTGCAAGTTGAAAAGCCCGTACAAACAGGAATTGAAAACAATTGCAACTAGGGCTGGAAAATTAAATCATTATCACAATTACAACCTATTGAAAGCAACATATGTTACAACTACATCAACGGATTTTGAGGGGCGGAGGAAGGAAGAAAAGTAACAAAAGACTAACTGAATGTTAACAAATCGAATGATCAATGATCAAATGATTTTGCTTTAGATAGATTGAAGAAAATTTTAGTTAACAGATAAAACTTGAATCAGATTGAAAATTTTTCATTTTGATATATGCCGCACCATGCAAAGATTTTGCATTCTTGCTTTCAGTATTAAGGTCAAAACTCACAAATTGTTAGTATCTACAAATGCAATGCTGCTCATCTTTACAGGGAATCCCTTTGCCTCAATCATCATCGACGTCATCTTGGACCTTTTTATGATTATTATCCTGATTCCTGTACAACTGAGCAACCTGGAAATACATTACAAAAGACATTAAATGGAAAGAGTAAACAGAGCAAAAAAGTTCAAAACTAACAAAGACAGTTTACTTTTCCTTGTTTGTCATATCTTTCAGTCTAACATTAACAATATCAAGCAACTTGGACAGTTTAATACCTGCTCGGACGATGTAGCTTCCTCTGGAGACTTGTCCTCCCGGACACGTACTAGACGTGGAAACCGGAGAGATATACCCTAAAGCAATAACCAAAAAGAAACAGAATGAGGTTAATTCTTTCGTTCAACAAGGAAAAAAACAGCTAAGAGAAACATATAGAAATGCAATCCTAAATAGATTGAAATGCACTCTTTGTTTCATGAAACTATTTGAAAAAACCAAATGGTACAGTATGCCCCAACAAAACATCCGAACAACAACTTAAACATGCATTGCAATCATAGACGGTGAAAGCATGGAAACAAACTACATGATCTAAGGAGATGAATTGAATTCAACCTTGTCTTCTTCCACTAGACCAAATGCAGCAGGGTGAGCAGGACTAATAGTCAAGTCTGCAGCTTTCACCTCCCAAACCTGCATTTTTTTTATAATGATGATGACCACCACCACAAACATAACAAGTGCAAAATTAATATCCAACAAATAAGGAAAGGAAACAAAAAAAATTGAACAAAGAGCAGAACAACAGATTTGACTTCTACATGCGATCTTTTTATCTCCCAGTTTAAATTTATTTTTCCTGTCCTTTCATTTTCTTATTAGCTAGACATAGTTAATAACCTGCTACTCCTGGAAACCACATCACTTTCCGAATGCTAAAGTTTACCAGAACTAAATTTTTGAAAGCTTGTATTGATGTGTCCCATGCAGCCACTTCTACTTTTCAGTTTCATCAGAAATTAGCCAAAACTCAAGAGCGTGATAATAAAAGAAAAGTTTTATTTTGCATGGTGCGAAGAGTGTTAGCATGAAACATGTCCTTGTCTTTATGGAAATTAACCATCCATATGCAGATTTAAGGGTCATATTCATATGTTCTGGTATACGTTCCATATTCAGTAATCCCATATATATCATGACCTCAATCACATCGATTCATTTTTGAATCTCTATACGTGCAATTCCCTCAACACCAGAAGATATTTTCGTATTTACATATATGTTGGCCTAAAGCATATACTTCCATATATGGGTCTCACGGATAATTTCATTACCCTCACGAGCAAGATCACGTCCTTCATTACGAGCTTGTACACATGCTTCTAGAGCTACTCGATTAGCTACGGCACCAGCATATATTGGTCCTCACGGATAATTTCCCATTACCCTCACGAGCAAAGACACGTCCTCATTACGAGCTTGTACACATGCTTCTAGAGCAACTCGATTAGCTTACGCACCAGCAAGATCACGTCCTTCATTACGAGCTTGTACACATGCTTCTAGAGCTACTCGATTAGCTACGGCACCAGGTGCATTTCCCCAAGGGTGCCCTAAAGTTCCTCCACCAAATTGTAGTACGGAATTGAGTTGATGTGAAACTAAAGCAAGGAATTCTACCAGCAAATTACAAAGTAGATAAGACAAGTTTAGACAAGAAATGGGAAACAACCTCACCAGGAGTGCAAGAGCAGAGATAAGTGTTCTTAAAGATGATAATTATTACCTCACTAGGCTCGAACCACACATCTGGATTAATCTTGTCTCCGTACCTATAGTATGACTGTAACCAACAATAAAGTTAGAAATGGCAATGTAATAATAATCCCACTGTTACAATGAAAAGGAATGAAAACCTCACCTTTGGCTTGGCAATCATTTTAGAGCGAAGACTATTAGATAGATTTTGGAGCAGTTCGTCAGAAAATCCAGTGCCTGGCCATTATATCAAGGATTATAAGAAACAAAAATGAAAGAAAATGAAAAAATAATGGCCTTTTAATTGTTTAAATAACTCAAATAACTGAAGAGCTTTAAAAATTACACACCTATTTTGCATATGCTTTGGTACTCGTCCTTATTGTGGTCATAACAAGCAAGAAGAAAGGCGCCATAGAAACCTAAAGCCAAACATAGATTTGTGAACAAAATATTAACATTATTAACATGCAACTTACAGTAATACTGTCTGGTAATTTGTATGAGACATAAATGCATCCCAGCTTAATTCAAATAAAATGGTAGTTACCTGTACGTTTACCACGACCGTGGAAAGCAGCAATAGGTACAAGATCCAGTGCGTCTCCAAAACTGCAAAGCATAGCCCACCATGAAAAACATATTCTGTTATAATGCATAAAACTCACACATTTCTTATACCTCACCTTTCCATGTAATCCTTCTTCAATTTTAGCCAGTTATTTGATCTCTTTGAAGGCTCATATGTAGCATCTTTATTCAATGTTTTGATGATCAAACCCTCACAACTGCAAACAAAGATGAATCAATGACTGAAGCAGGAAAAAAAAAATGAGCATGCAAGTCATAACCAACCCTAAGCCAATTACATGCACCCTTTAGTCAAAGAAACACCATGATCCAATAGAAAATGGATTCACATAGCAAAGTTATGGTTAATTCATCGAGAACACAAAAAGAGATGTCCATTTAAAGATTTGATAGTTACTATTTGACCTAATCAACTCTGCTCATACAGAGATAGAAGGCCATATAAGATTACACAAAGACAAACACAGGATGTGACTTGGCTAGTTTGATATTCTAGAGCTCCATGCCCTAACACTTGAGCTAAAAGCTGGAAACTACCGAACTTCTCATCAATAGGATGAAATAATTAAGACATAAATACAACAGGAAACCATAAACATGTACAAGTGAGTATATGCTAAATTTTATCCAATTTGTTGCACACTGATAAGTGCCAAAAGCATGAGATCACAACCTTGCACCAATAGCAGCATCAAGGAATTTTTGAATTTCTTCAAGATCATTTGATGTTACTGCTGTTGCAAACTGAAAAAATCCAGGGTCCTCCTCAAATGATTCATAAAGCCGCTGCACAGAATCAGAGCAAATATAGATAAATAAGTATTTACTGATACATGAGATCAGTTACATCCAAAGTAAACTTATTTGTCAGCAAACATGCAGTGATTCAAAGAATGCAAAATACCAATATGCTTGGACCTCCATTACCACTTATAACTGCATTTATAAATTCATAAAAAAGGTCAAGCCCTTTAATTGTTCTTAAGAAAATATCATATAAATGAGTTATGAGCAGATGGTAGCACATTTCTTGACTCATAAGGACTATTCGAGAATCCTCCATTTCGTGTCTCCAGTCTCCAGCCTCCACTCAAGGATATTTAATGCTCTTAATTGCCTAAAAGGTTTGAAGGCTAAAGACCAAAGCCTTTTGTACAGCAATACAGCATGATAGAAGTAACATTGATTATAATCTTTTTCAGGTCCAGTTTGTTCTCAACAAATTATGATGGGTTAATGTATGTTCTTAGAGAAATAAGTATGAAACAATGCATTTCGCCCCAAAGAAATTGGGGGAGCAAGCCTCAGGATTAGGTATGAGCCTTCTGAGATTTAGGCTTTGCTTTTAAGAGATTAGGCAATATCATGGTGCACATAAGATTAGTTCAAATAAAACTATTCAAAACAGCTAAACATACAAATATCGTTAACAGCACGCAGAGTAATTCTCACAACCATGTGCATATATATATGGTTAACAACACACTTGCAAGCAACTTAATCAACTTGTAACAACTTGATCAGCTCACAAGTAACTTTAAATAAGTACACTCTAGATTGTAACAACTCAAACGTTTAACCACACCACAAATCATTAAGCACCCTTTTCCACCACGGCACGCCAGTCCTAAAGTTTTCTTCCAAATGGCTCTCTCATGGTTGATTGCAGTAACAATATGGTCAATACAATTGATTGCTTACACTAACATATCAACAAGGAGAATTGCAAATGGTTAATAAATAAAAATCTTAACTGAAAAAGAGAAAGAGAGAAGTTTCAAGCCTTGCACTGATGAGGTAAATATAGGAAATGTTACTGAATTCCATGCAATTTAACAGCAGTGTCGAACATCAGCAGCCATAAGGCATTCAAGTAGATTTGGCAATCCTACCTTGGCACAAAGTTCAAGTGGACCTACCTATCCTACCCTAGGCCACGGTTCAGATAAAAATATTCATGGTATATTCTACATGACTGCAATACCACTGACATTTCAAATGATAAGACAACCACTTTCAACTTTTTATGGTAAAAGAATAAAAACACTGAACTCAAATGCTTGAATAAACAAGGAAATAACGAAAAGAATAAAAAAAAGAATGAAAGAATGTACCTGCCTACGAACTTCCAGTTGTTCCTGAATAAGTTGTTCACCATTAAGATACAACACATCAAAGGCGAATATGCAAACATCAACCTTGATGTCACTCACTGCAACATTTTTGCGGGCCCGTTTAATGAGGTTCTGAAACAACATAGACCCACAAAAATATTATCTATCTCAGCTCGAACTCAAAGAGCCTGCATTCCAACTATGTTGCTACTAAAACTGTCTTTTACAACAACTCAAAAATAGACGCACAAATACAGTAGAAGTTGTTCATACTGCACAACTAAGGCACACAACGGAAAGATACATTAAAAAACAGATGACCATTCTTGAAAATAAAGTGATTAAAACTTTTGAAAAGCCATTTAGGCTAATAAACAAATCCAAAGAATTACCTATCTACAATTTAGTGCAACTTTTGATTGGATTTCTATGTATAGGCAACTGAACTAATGAACTTGAACTCATTTCATATGGTTGTGAACTTATAACAAACCAAACTCAAAAATTCTATACATGAACATTGAGTTGATCATCTTCAAGCTTGAGAAAAATAAATTTTTATCTAACCAAACTTAAACAGGAAAATACTAGGCCCAATTTAGTCTGCGAATCAGCATTATGTACTGCAAATAAAATTGTGTTGTCTGACAAGACTACAGTAATGTTGACCAACGTGAATGAGTACTGCTGTAATGCTCAGGAAAGCTAATACAAAATTCAGACAAGTTAACACAATATCTCTTACCAAATAATGGTAACACATGATTATGGTGTCAAAACATGGTTTCATTGTTTTATAGATATCTTTTCTTTTCCCCCTTTGAAATATTGGAATCATAAGTTAGAACTTTCATTATGATTTCTTTGACATGGATATCCTAATCGAATAGAATTTAATAATCCAAATTAAATAACTGAGCTGTCAGTATGTTTACTCCACTCATTTAAGCACCTAGGTACTTTGCATTCCTATGAACTGATTAAGACTGAAAAGTGATACGGCAGAGCATAGCATAATATGTTTAATTTGGATAGTTATCAAGAATTCCTTTAGTGACAACAAATAAAATAAATAGTTATGCCAAGAACATAGGCACCTAAAAACGAGACAAAACATTGTAAGGCTTCTCTCAATCCCAAGACAGGAACAGTTAATCAGATGCTTTACCACCTACATGAGCAGCTCACAAAAAGCACAAAGCAATAAAGTCGTGCAGCTTACTAAAAGAATTAGTTTTTTGTCTAGGACGAGTTTTGGATTTTGCAAACAGGAGGTTATATATTGAAGTCTGATTAAAATAAATACTTAGTTATTTGCCTCATAGCCTAAAAATAGGTCCTTTTTATGCTTTCATTTTCTGTCATTTACAGAATCTGAGACCAGCAAAATCCCTCTGCAAAAATCAACTTTTTAACCTTGACAAATTAGATAATGACATCACATGCTAAAAAGTAATATTAGAATTTATTTTTTTTATTTTTTTTTTTTTTGAAAAGAAAGAAAATCAACCATGCTGCTGTTATAGCTTTTGCAGTCCAGAAGATTTTTGTTCTTGTGAATAAAAACAAAATGTTGGGCAAAGAAGTCCATTCTAACCCTAGTAGAAGATCATTCTGTTGATAAAATATTGCACCACTACCAGTGGTTATGGAAAAGGAAAAGTTAGTTGTCTCATTTTTCACCCATTGATTGGTTCATTTTTCCATTGATATAATTTCCATATTAGAATCAAGTTGCAATATATATAAACAACTATTCACTTTCTAAATTTGGATTCTTTATCCACAACCAATTCCCATTTAGGTTAAGGTTATCTTCAAAAACCTTTTAAAGTTCTAGCTACAATCTTTCCAATTTTTACTCTGTTAACCAATTTTCTAATTCTAGCTACTGTGTGCCTCCATCAACAATTTCACAAACCTCAGATCATGTTGCTACTTGTTTGCCTCCATAAGTGAATAATTATGATTTGCAGTATTTTATTTTGATTTACTTGTGTCAGGAAATATAAGAAGAAAGTCGAAGAATTGGCCAAATAATATTTGACAAATTACCATTTGAAAATATTAAAAAAATATAATCTAAAAAAGGAGCTAAATAAATAAATTAAATTTAACTGAACAAGTCACCTGAAAGGGCAGGATTTTCCTTTCTTCTCGGTTGTAAGCAACTATTTCACAGTCCAAAACAAATGATTTTACAGCAGGCCTCTTTAATCTGAGAACAGAAAGCAAACATCAGCAACTACCAGGTACAAACAAATAATAGCAAATCACTTTAAACAGCCAGGTATAGCAGATAGAAAACTTAACAGCAATAAACCAGCAGTATATGCATGGGATTTTGCATCTTGAGGCAATAATATATTTACAACATAAATAATTAAAGTTGAGACCTCAAATTACCCAGACAAGACTGCATCTAAAATCCTGGATAAGCGAGTACGAACATCTAAATGAAAATTTTCAGACCAACATTTAACATTCATGCAACATTTGATAAGAGGATGGTATACGCCCATAACATATAGAATATAACAAAAAATGGAACAAGCATTGCAAGTTACTATTCAATATTGTTGCTCAAACGAAAACCAAAAACAAATAAAAAGAGTGAAAAAAGCTTCAAAATTACAGTTAGAAAATCTGTAGATGTAGCAAAATGGGGGAAAAACGATTGTTAAGGATTAGTTGTAAATAAAACTCCATTAGGAGTTAAATTCCTAATAGGTTTATAGTATCTTGTATGTGTGTATATATATATATATGTGTCCCTATTGATGAATCAAAAGCAAGAAAATATTTTTCCACATTAAATTCACAACAATAGAGAAAGCACAGAAACCAGTTTGAGCATTCATGTGTTATCATTCTCTTTCAAAATGGATGTTATCTTGGGTTATGAAGCTCCTGAGCTAATTTAACTTTCTATTCTTGGGTCATGTTATCATTTAGGGTACCTTTTCCTACATCACAAATCCCTTAAGAAGCCTCAAACAATATTAGCCCATATCAAGCGAGAATAAAAGCCCTTTTGTAAAGTATGAACCCACCTTGAAATCGTAGAAACAACATCAGGATATTTTCCAGTATTCCGCTCTGCATTCCGACTATATATCTCAACTGAACCATTCTCCAGGTAATGTATCTGAATTGTAAAAATGAACTCATCAAAATAATGAAACTAACAACTTTATTTTGAAAAATGACTGGAAACAAAAATAGAAATCAGAAGCACTGTAACTAAATTATCACCTGGGCACGTTCCCCATCATACTTGTATTCACAGGTGAAAACCATATTCTCAAACTTATTAATTATCTGAGAAATACTTGTGACTGAGTTTGCAAGCATTGGTCCAATTGGGACACCAAGTGTAAAGCTACAGATATTGGGAAGGTTCCACACTCCATCACTAAGAAGAGCAGGTACTATTTTATCATAGACAGGAAGTACAGAGTACACTTGTTTAACAATCTTTGCAGCCTGTTACAATCATAGTAAAATATAAGACCAATTCAAAAGCACATTAACATAGATTGATCAACTTTCAACTGTTGAATAGATATTCTTTCAATTACAACTGTCTGAGCCCTAATGATCCAGAACTTCTATTCCTTACATGCTAAAAAACCTTAAAGATGAAAATTGACCACGAATTTGATCACTGATCAATCTGTCAGACTACCATGTCAACCAAACCATGCGCAGATTTGGAAAAGGAAAAGGTAAAATGAGGTCAATAAGCCCAATTCTACACAAGCTGATAACAATATATCCTCCATGGCTGTTAATCTTATGTAGGCTTTCAAAACATGTCAACCTTTGGAGCATTGACAAGCCACCGACCATACATAATATGCTGTCTCTAGATTTTCCTAAGCCTTTAAAGATGGTAGCATAATTTCCATCACGGACAAGAATGCAAGCAGTATCATTAGTGGATCTTCCTCGATGTGAAAAGGACACCAATCTGTCATACTTTACCCTAAAAGATCAGCCACTCCTTCATCTGAACTCTCTATCATATGAAATATTAAAAAACTAGCATACCCTTATTTACTAACATATCCTTATTTAAGTACATATGTAATTGCGTCATCCGACTTTCTGGAATATTAATAACTAACATGGAGCTTCACGAGGAGAGAATCAAGACTGTGAGTCTTTGTACTTAAGGAGAGTGAATGTGTGAAACATTTTCTTATATTTATAAAACAAAATCACCTCTTCTAAAGGAGACTTAATGTCTGAAGGTGGGGTGGAGCATTTGGCAGTACAAACAGCAGCTTGTCCCAGTGCAGCCAAAAGAGTCTTTCCTGCCAAACTGATTCGCAATTTTGCCTGTGAAATGAATGCCAAGATATGTGAACTAAGAGAAAGCAGCAAAGAAGCAATATCCAGAAATTATTCAAATTAGAACCTGAAGCAGACGAATTAGATACAGAGGTTCACAGTCAGCGGCTGCAACAAGAAGTGCCCTGACATGATTCTTTTTCTTATCTTGACTATCCTTCCCAGATTCCTATTAAGATTGAACCAAAAATAAGAACAAGTTAATTATAAAATAAAGCAATTTTTTTGAATCATCTCGACAAAGTCCTCATTCATTCTTGTCCTCTGTGTACTAATTTTCAACTGGACTTATCTTCATTATTTTCAGATATTATTTGTTTTTCCTTATGCTATAAATTATAATAGCATTACAGTGAAGAATTTTTAGACAACAATTAAGTCAAATGTACTTCATGTTGTTTGGATAGAAACAATCCTTAAAAAGCAATTAAGATATCTTATTTGACAATTGAGGGGGAAAGAATAAGAGAAAAAACTGAAAAAATTGCTAAGATATGCAATATGCAGAACCACGGAGGGTGATTTCTTCAAAAAATGCCGCCACATAAAAGCCAGAGCATATTCACATAGCACCCATAACAGCTTCTATATCAGCTAGCTGATCAGGCAATTCATCGAATATACATATACCATAATAACTAAATGATACTTCACACATTTAAAGGCATCTTATTCAAATTTAATAATTTATTGCGTAAGCACAAATCATCAAACATGTAATAAAATATCCAAGAGTATACAATTGGAAGCAATAATTCAAATCTGAAAATTCATTAGCAGTTTACTTAGAACACAGTATGAATTTCAAACTCTAACGATAACAGAAAGAGCAGTTTTTCACTAACAATTTTGCTTCAAACATGGAAAACTATGCTCCTGAAGCCATTATATTCAATTTTTTTTGAAGGGAAAAAAAAAAGATAAAGGGTACAAGATATAAGTCATGACGTCATAACTGAATACCAACCCAACAAAAGTGGGAATAGAATTTGAAACTTCTTGGTTATCAAGGCCTCAATCTTGAGTCCTTGCCACTAGACCAATGCTTCATTGCTATACTCACTAACTCGTTTACACCTGCTCATTGATTTGATCACCATTATGATAATTTTCCATAAGCACAATCTCACCACACATATATGCAAGAGAAAATTTGTTTGAGAAAGAATTTCCCAATCAATAACAAAAGCAACTCATGCAACATAACCAAAATCGCATTTTACCTGGTCTTCAAAAAAAAAAGTAATTAAAAAAACCCATCTCATACAAAGAAAGAAGCACAAAACTCACTGAGGTATGAAGTTCTCTAACTTGAGAGTGAAAGTACCTTGGCAATCATCTTGAAGGTACTAAAAACCTTGGCAACTGTTAATGGATCAGGCTTGCGCATCATAGACTGTGATGAACGGCTTTCTTGAGCAACAAGTCCCAAATCTCCTACAACCTGCCAGTTAAAATTAAACATATATGAGAGGAAATAAGCTTGAATAACAATCCCAAGTTAAATTAAAAGAGGCTGAGGTTAATAAAATTCTAAAGAAAGATTGTGAAAGAATCATATAGCCAACATCAGATAAATACCAGCCAATAAACCACATAAAATCAGTTGTATGTAGAACTCTTGGTACAGATCACATTGAGAAAATAATTTTTAGGATAAATAGTAAGGCTAGTTGCACGTGTTCATCATCTCAGAAAAATGCACATCAACCCTGCCACTAACCAACACTAAACCACATAAAAAAAAACAATGTCACAAATATAATAAAATTTAGAGATTCCTGATAACTGTCCATCCATTATTACTTTCATGCTTTCTTGAGACTTGATCAAACATTTTCCGCTATTGCTTTCCCTCTCATTCCTTTTCATCTAAGAAGTGCATCTAAGTCCAAATTCACGCTTAATTAAACTAATCTAACCAATTGGAAGATGAATTCAGCGCAGAAATCATATACTAAAGTTATCGGTTCTTTTTCCACTTACATCTAATCGACGCTTGACTTGATCAATATTCCTCCCAAATGCCTCCGAAAGTGCCTTCATAAGTATTTGTTCTCCAACGCCCAGCTCCACTCCTTCATGCGGGGGAGCAACCCTGTTCCCCATTAGATATACTAAAGCCAGTAAATCATCAGGCGTCGTATCCATTACAGTTCTCAACATATTGCAGGCCATGTTAGTGATCAAAATCCTTCCACTCTCTTTTTCAATCAACTCAAAAGCCAAACAAGCAAATTTAAAAGGAACCTTCTCGCCTTTCTCCCAAAACAACACTGTCTTGGGGTCAAATTCCATTGGAGACTTCTTCAATGACTCAATCTTTCTTCTCAACTCTGCAATTTCAACACGCTGTTTCTTGGTGGTGACGAGTGGTAAACTAGGTTTTTCAGAGCTAGGGTTTTGGGGTTCATTCACCAATTCTTTATCCACTTTAGATTCGTCTATTTTATTTTGAGATGGTGGTCTTGAGTCAGGGATTGGAGGATTCTGCCGAGGTTGGGAAGAATTTACGGTTTGGACAATGTTTCCAGTGCCTGGACTTTTGCGTTTCTTGGGGGTGGAGGTGGACTGAGACTTCGACTGGGATTTATTCTGGCTGGCGCGTCGTGCATTTGCCATGATAGTGTCGAAGGCGTTGGGGCGAGAGGATGACATTGTGGACTTAGAGTGGGAGCTTACAGAGAGATAAAGGAGATTAGAGAGAAAAGAGGAATTAGAGGAGGGGTAAGAGACGAAGAAAGAAGAGGGGGAAATAATACGGTGAGGAAGAGAAATGAAGGATAGAGAAGAAAATGAACGTAGAGAGAGCATCAAATGGAGAGAGAAGAGAGCAGGAACGGTTAGAGTTGTTGGGTTTTTATACTGACAGAGTGTGTGACTCCGGACGGCATGCTAGGGACGCTGAAGGTGACTGAAAAAAAATGGCGGGAGATTGGTTCCGATTTCCTCAGTATTTTCCTTCTTTTTCTTTCGGCAAATTGTCTATATTACCCCCCATTTAAAAACATCACCACCCTGCCGCTTCCTTTTCTTTCGGCAAATTGTCTATATTGACCCCCCATTTTTAGAAAACATCACCACCCTGCCGGCTTTTTCTTTGCCCTCACTCGTCTCGTGAAGTCTCAGACTCTCAGTCCGCTCACCGCCGCCATTTGCGCTCACCATCCCTGAAATTGCCAGCATATGCACTAGAGTTTTTGTTTAAATAAGTCAATCAATGGGACTAGCCGACTTGAAGATAACCTAGCGTTGTCCGCAACAATTATTTGAGGACAAATAGTCTTGAGGACAAAGTCTTATAGCCAAATATTTAACTATTATATGTTCTCTATTTAGATTATATTTCATATTTAGTTTATTCTTTTATATTTATTCCTAATTAGCTTTTTTTTTTTTTTCTTTTGGAAAATGCAAACTGGATTATATATTACTAAGATCAAAATGCAAAGCATAACAAATAAAGTCAGGGGGAGAAGAACCTCATTCCAAGGATTCAAACATAGAAACAGCAATATTGATATATTTGCGGATTACTGATTTATTTTTTACCAATATTGATATTCTCTTAATTTATATATATATATTTTTGACATTTTATTAATATAAAAACTTAATTTCTAAGATTTGCTAAGTTGCTGCTTTTTCTAATCCTTTAAGTCTTACTATTGATTTTACTAGCAACATACTCGTGCTATGCATGATTAGAAAAAGTAAAGTTGAGAAAAAATATATATAATTTATAGAAAATTATATAAATTATAGATTCTTTAATTTATAATTTAATAATTCTTAAAGGAAATTTCTTTTATTATGCTTATAAAAATATTATAAAAGATAATATAATATAAAAAAAGTATGGCGGATTTTTAATTATAAATAAAATTAGTAAGATAGACTATGTGTTCTAAGAATATGATTGAAAAAATTGAAATTTATAGAGATAAATAAAAAAAAAAAATCAAAATGAAAGATGGTAAAATATTCATTAATTTGATTTATTTATAAATTAAGACATAAAAAATAATTAAACTCGCTAATTTCAATTAAAATAACGATGAATCAATAAATTTATTAAATAATTAAAGTAGTATAAATCTTCAACTTATCAATGTTTTAATACTAATAATGATCAATTATATGTTAACATAATTTAATTTAAATAAAAAAATTTTAAAATTTTTTTAATATAAAATAATAATTGCCATATCAAGATATATTTTTTTGAAAATAAAAATTAATTTATGATTGAATTAAATTCGTCTTAAAATGTAATTGATTATATAACGTAGAGAATTAATAGTGTGGCTAAAGTAAATAATTAAGTCATACGACATGTGCCATTAATACATTAAATATCCAATATATAAATAATAAGATCAAACAACATCCAAAAACTAATAATTCAAATAATCAACCAAATCAAATACATTAATACATGAAATAATCAAATCAAACCAGTCAAGGGAAGCTTAATTGAAGAATATACATATGTCGATTTCCAGGAAACAATGCTGCTTTATATATATTATATATATTGATTTGCCAAAAAATTCTTGCTTTATATATATATATATATTGATTTGCCAAAATATTTTCACGGATGCAAAGGAGAGTGAATAGTTCCAATTCATTCTTGTCAAAGTTCACCACCAATTACATGAGAAAGCCTCGTTCAAAGATAATCAAGAGGACTAGGACGCAACCAAGTAGGCCTAGTGTCATCTATCAAGTAGGCCTCAGCCCCCAAGCATTAGTTTCCTATTAAGAACTTCAATGAGAGTTTATGAAACCTAACTCTACAAATATCATATATGTTGGGCCAGCTTCACTCAAACTTGTTAGACACAACGCAACATTTGGACCGGACTAAACTTAAGATCAAACCAAGCACTGAAAGCTGTACAAGTTTGAGTTTAAAATTCAATTCAAATTTTTTATTAAATTGATATTTAGTTGAGTTTTATTTGATAATAATATTTATAAATTACAAAGAAAATAATAATTTTTAATTGAAATTATATATCTTTTTTCAAATCGCTAAATAGTTTAATACGAGGAATACAAATAATAATTACAAAATATGAGAGCATTTTATCAATTAAATCTTGGCCCAAAAGGACGTAGGAGAGGGTTTAGGCATGGCCACCAGCTTCAAGTTAACTAAACTGGAAATAGAGGTTCACAAGCTTGTTGAAGTTCAAAGGAAGGTGAAAAACATACTTGATAGTCGACATGGTCCTGAAATGATGGTCCAGTCTGATTTGGATCGATTTAAAAAAATGTAGTTAGATATTTAATAAATTATTCAATTTTTAATTTTCAATCAAATATGGGAAGCCGATTATAAACAATAAAAATAGAAGGATTATTTTAATTAATTATTCAATTTTTAATTAAATACGAAAAGTAAATTTGTTTGATTTTAAATTAAATAAATAATCAAATAAAATCAAATATAAAATTCAAATTTGATTATATATATATATATATATATACCAACAAAACATTAGGATCGTGACAAAAACACAATTTAACAAATAACAAAAGATACCAACAAGATTTTATCAAAGTTTAGGGCAACAAAATACCAACAAAGTATTACACAAAATTTAAGGTTCCTGCAACCTTAACCTGGGATCCCCAGAATTAAGTCAGAGTGTGGAGGGAAAAGAGAAAGATGCCGTCAACACGGACTTAGAATGTTGCAAATTTAAGCAATAAGCAATTTTTATTTAGATACAAAATCTAAATACAATATTTAAATAATATTTATACTTACAAAGAGTTTTACAATTAGACTTTCTTCGACTCTGAATGCTCACGATGAACTGAGAATTGAGAGGAAAGAGGGATTTCTAATAGAGGTAGATGTAAAATACTGCGAGATATATATATATATATATATATGGAAAGATAAATCGATTAATTAATCAAATATAAAAATTCAAATTTTGATTGTGTATATTAAATCAAATATGGGAAGATAATCTATCTATATTTATATAAATAAATAAAAGTTGAGCCCTAAAAACTTACATGGCATTATTTTAGAGTATAAAAGTGCTTATGTGGAAATATTAATGTCACGACCCGATTCCATGGGCCGGACCGGCACTAGGGCCCAGGTAAGCTTAAGGCCCTCGAGGCCCGTAGTAAGCCTGAAACACTGGTAAAGCCTTAAGCCACTCGAGGCCCACCTTTAGTTAAAGGCCGAAACACTAAAAAAATTTAACTATCTCAATATAATTTTCAAACGTTCAGCCAAATACTGGGTAGTAAAAATAACCTCAAGATCTATTAAAGTCTCGCCCCCAAAATTTAAAAACATCTTAAACATTTACAAATTTTCCCTCTGCTAAATACACTATATTTATAATAAGGCTCACAAGAATGATTGTGTATCATACTAAGTATTCGACTAAAATATATACAAATCTTATAACCTGCGGAGTTCACTAACAAATGAATACAGATAAGCTTCGGACGTTATCTAATTGTAAAAGATCAATACTCAAACTTAGAGAACTTCTTTTCTAACAGTGAAAGAGCCAGAAGTTTATAACTGGACTTAGAAAGAGCAATCTTTCCTGAAGATTTAAAAAAAGAACCAAAAAGAGAATTTTGTTTAAAGAAAAAAAAAAAAAAAATTTAAAAAAAAAAAAAAAATTTAAAAAAATGAATATATAATTATTGCACGAACAACACACATTCACACTAAATGATAAATATATATCTAAGTCATCCGACTAGTTTATAATGCTCACACAAACCAGTCCAACAACAAATGACCCATTAATCAAACCACAGCGACTCACAATTATTAACATCTTTCAATATAAATCACATCACGTGGAAATTGGTCAGTGGCGTCACCGAAACCCCGATGAGCCGTCCTCCCACATGGCTCATCCTCTCACATGTGCACTCAGGGAGGCCCGAACCTCTGCATAAACTGGCCCGATTCCCGGTCTAATCCTCCACTTGACCAGCCCTCTCCCATTGTTTTCCCATTCTCTCTTTTCTTTCCATACCAGACAGGAGGCAACCCGGTCTTCTCCATCCAAAATTAGATCATCAGGCGCAGATTATCCGGTGCGCCCAAATAAAGAAGCCAACCTGTGGTCAACAGTAACGGTAACAGTAGGTGCACACGGGGGCGCCGATCTCCCTTTTGCCCGGCTAACAAAAACAGAATCAGGATCCATAAAACAGAACCAGAATATAATAGAATTCAGAATCAGGATCCGTATAATAGAAACAGTCTCACAAACCCATGGTGACCCACTTAATCCCAATTCCACACAAACAAAGCACAGCAATAACACAACACAATTAATCAAGCATTTCAATTAGATGCAGACATATGGATCAGCTGAACATTGTTGTAAATGCAATGCACAATTAAACATCCATTCTCGAAAAAGCATAAAATAATTAAATAAATAATTCTTAACTTAACAATAACAACAACGATAAAATAATAATAATAATAATAATAATAATAATAGACAATGATAAGGATATGGTAGATAAAGCACTTTATTTATTATATATCGAATTGTAAAAATTATCTAAATAAACTTATTTGTTATGTTATCAATTAAAATTATTCTAAGTTCTACCGAAATTTCGGCAGCACCTCCCCTAAAAATGGGACTACCAACCTGTTTAAATATCCTAGCAACACTAAGTATCATTCAATCAACACACACTGCCCATCCATCGGGCAATTAAACAAATTTATTTCTCTTCCTCCATCCAAAATAATCACATCAATATTTAATTGTAAATGTCAAACTGTAACTTACTATATAACATTAAGTAAATGAATAAATAAGCTTAAGTAAATGAATAATAAGCAAATAATGAAAAATAGCTTTTTTGCTTAATAAATGAAAAATAGCTTTTTGCTTAACCTCCACAAGTTACTAGTTAAACTATCTAATATAGACCCTTAACAATCATATAAAACTATAGCTTAAGTATTCAACAATCATCAACTAAATTCGGAGTTT